TTCCTGGGCTTCAAGGTATGAGCCAGTTTTTATGAAGCATCTCCATGTATTCAAAGGAGAAGATCTGAGCAAAGTCAGTCCTGATTCAGATAAAACTTACTCTAACCTGGATCCATAATAGTGACCGTGAACAGTACCTCCTGTTTTTACGTTTACACTTTCACAGTTAAGGTTGATCAGCCACTGAGGAGATCTGTACTGCAGGAAGGGGAAGATACCTTTATCCAGTCCATGGAGTAATACTGCAGCTTCCTATTCTTGCTACTCTTAGTGGCTGCCTAGTGGCCATCTGCGCATAGGACCTCCTGCTCTGCCACACAGATAGTCCCTGCCTCAGTTTACTTACTCAAATCTGAAAAGACTTGCAAAAGGTGGGAGAACACTCAGGGAAAGCGAGATGACTTTGTGTGCTCAGGGTGATACAATATCTTGGGCACTCCTCATTTCTGCAGGGGAGTTTTGCTGGGTGCTGCAGATGTCTCCACAGTGCCACTTCCTTCCCACTTCATAGCAGATATTGCTGTTTCTTCCTTTTGCCCAGCCCTAAGCAGACACACCCACCCGCTGTGCAGGGAACACCTATAGAACTGACTCTGGTGCTGTGCAGCCAGTGCAGGCCAGTAAGCTTCTTCCATTCTGCTTCTACACATCAGAAACTAGCTTTTTGTGCCATAAAGTTGTCCCTGCCCATAGATGAGAGTTGAGTTCATATTTGTTCCTTAAAGAAAGAAGTTCTCCACAACAGTCAATTCTAAATTGCAGCAAAGCATCAGTTTTCACAAACTATGCAAAAACTAGAGGATAAGTAAGAAATTACAATAACCGAACACATAAATTTCAAAATTACAATTAGGAATTCTGAGGGATGGTGAGTAATGGAAGTGAAACATTTTACAATGTTTTTTTTGTTTCCAGGACAGCCTGGTACCCCAGGATTTCCAGGTGCCAAAGGTTTTAGAGGCCCAGAAGGTGATATCGGAGCACCAGGCTGTCCAGGCTTCCCTGGTCTACCATGTGACACGGGCTTACCAGGGCCACCAGGACTCGCAGGTGTCATGGGCCTGCCAGGACCCCAAGGTACACAACATCCATCAGGTTGCCTCACAGCTCTAAGCTTTGCGCACCTTTTCTAGGGGATTTAATGACATGATTTTTGTGGCTGGCAGGACAAATATTTCCATGGGGGCTGCTCAGTAGTGGGGGTGTACATTATATTTTGCACATTTCCTTAAACTCGGGGAACGTAGAGTGCGCATCTCAGATGTTTCCCAACTTTCCTTTCCTTCCCGTGCTGTGCCTTAACTGGCCAAATCACAGTGTGTTCACTGTCAAGTAATAAACTGAAGACTTATCTCTTACTCTGTTGTCCTTAACTGAGCTCCTATCATTACTGTGATACTTTTATCTTCCGTATTCTTAGATGGAACTGTTATTTAGGGAGAGCTAGGAGACATATATACCAAAAGTATTTATGAATTAGTAGGGATTTTTCACAGGGCGCTTCTACTGATATGTCTCTCACTCAAGAAATACAGGAAAACAAACATTCCAGGTGAAAAAAATCTAGGCAAAGCCAGGACTCCAGCATGGTAGCAAAGTTTCCAAGTTATTTTGCCATGTTTGATGATACTCAAATTTATACCAAAATTGATCACTTTCTACTTTTTAGATATGATTGCTGAACTCTTTTCCTGTATTTACATACATAGATTAAAGCTCTTTTTCTCAGGCTTACCTGGCTTTAAAGGTCAGAGGGGAGACAGAGGCCTAGCTGGGCCACCTGGAATCAAAGGTCTCAAAGGTTCTCCTGGCTCACAAGGTCCCCCAGGCCCTCCAGGCTCCCGAGGGCTTCCAGGACTTCCAGGCAATAAAGGACCACCTGGTTTCCCAGGACAAACAGGTATATTAAACATTCTGCAAACCACCTCATCTATAACTTCTCTTGTAGAGGAAGCTATTTCTACAGCTGTTAAAGCTAGGAAGTACTTTGCACCCTCCTCCCTTTCCAGCTTCAAGAATAAGACCCTGCAGCAGGGTAGAGGCAATAACAATAGGATCCTTTGTTCTTTGTCTTATAATAAAAACAAAGGGATGGAAATAAGTCGATGCATCTTGGCGCATCCTAATGCTTTAGTTGTTTCACAACACTGACACATTTCCATGTGTTGTTTCCTGACTATTTGTAATAGGTTGTTGTTATAATATGCTATAATAAGAACAATATACTTTTTATTACATCCAGACTCCTTTACTGATGCAGGCTGTGATCGGATGCTGATGAGTGTTCGATTCTTGGAGCAGTAAGGAGGGGGGTGAACAGAACCACTACCTTGGACTTCCAGAGGGCAGGCTTTGGCCTCTTTAGGAGGCTGGTGGACAGAGTCCCTTGGGAGGCAGTCCTGAAGGGCAAAGGACTCCAGAAAGGCTGGACATTCTGCGTGAAGGAAATCTTAAAGGCACAGGAGCAGGCTGTCCCCATGTGCTGAAAGACAAGCTGACAGGGAAGACCACTGGCCTGGCTGAACAGAGAGCTTTGGCTGGAACTCAGGAAAAAAAGAAGAGTTTATGACCTTTGGTAGATGGGGCAGGCAACTCAGGAGGACTACAAGGACATCGTGAGGCTATGCAGGGAGAAAATTAGAAGGGCCAAAGCCCAACTAGAACTTAATCTGGCTACTGCCGTAAATGACAATAAAAAATGTTTCCGTAAATACATTAGCAACAAAATGAGGGCTAAGGAGAATCGCCATCCTTTGTTGGATGTGGGAGGAAACATAGTAACAAGGATTGAGGAAAAGCCTGAGGTACTTAATGCCT